CCTTTTCAGTTTAATTTAAGTTATTATTAAGTACCGTGTGCCAGCGTTGAATCGTGGTTCGTGGTACTTAAAAGAATTGTTTTGTCTGGGTATCGTATCACACCCCTTATCTAGTAAGCCGTGAGCCATACTTTCTACTAGAATTTTAGGTTTCGCAGACTGCTGGATGTAAACAGGAAGAAACAAATGACCATTTCCACGCATGACTTGAAATAAAGTATCTCAATTTCAGCAAACTTTACGCATTTACGTAAGTTTTTGATATTCTGGTACCTGTATGGTAGAATGGAGAAAAAGGCGTAGAACATTAATTTAAGTTAAAGTGCGTTTACTGTTGAGACGATAAACGAAAGACAAAAGCTAGATACGTAGTTACGTAATTTTCATTCATTTATGAACACAATATGAGTGTTATGGCACAAATCTCTATTTCGAATTCTAAAAGCGTAAAATTCAGTTGTTTTAATATCCTACTTTTGACTGCATTTTCAACGCATCCGCGAACTTGGGTATGTAGAGGAATTACTCCAAGAAGGGTCAATCACTTTGATTGATCGAGAAACAAATGAAAGGCATGTAATGTGATGACAATGCACGAGAGAGTGACGCCATTTACAAATTACTAATCAAAATGAGTGCTGGTCGCAACTTGCTGATATATTGCCAGTAATAACTAAACAGTATCCGTCACATTTGCGGTCCCATCTTATAGTAATCCCTATACAACAGTGTCTGACATTGTCTCACGCGCGGCGTGCGTGCGTGCGTGCGTGCGTGCCTGCTGCTGGGCCGCGTGGCAGCGCAGCGCCTGGTCGCGCACGTCGCGCTCCACCTCGGTGAGGCGCAGCGTCATCTCGTGCACCAGCGCCCGCGCGCGCGCGCTCACCGCCTCGCCCGCGCTCTCCGCCGCCGCTGACGTCTGCGCACGCGCACACCCCAAAACAAAGAGGTTTTGCACGGCAACATAGCCAGTGAACAAAAAAAAACCGCTAATCCGAACGCCGCTAATCCGAACGCCGCTAATCCGAACACCGCTAATTCGATCACCACCAATTCGAACACAGCTAAATTCGAACACAGCTAAATTCGAACACCGCTAATTTAGAACACCGCTAATTTCGAACACTGCTTATTTCGAACACTGCTTATTTCGAACACCGCTAATTCGAACGCCGCGAATCCGAACGCTGCGAATCCGAACGCCGCGAACCGAACGCCGCGAACCGAACGCCGCGAACCGAACGCCGCGAACCGAACG